TTTATTTAAGATTTTTCTTTCTTCTTGATATAAAAGCCTGTAATGCTATGAATTTCTCTTTTAGGACTGCTTTTACTGTGACCCATAGATTTGGGGTTGTTGTGTTCTCATTTTCATTTGTTTAAAGGTATCTTGATTTCTTCTTTGATCTCATTGTTAACCCATTTATTGTTTAGTAACATGCTATTTAGCTTCCATGTCTTTGTGTGTTTAGTTTTTTTCTTGTGATTGATTTCCAGTTTCATACCATTATGGTTAGAGAAGAAGCTTGATGTAATTTCAGCCATCTTAAATTTATTGAGACTTTTTTTGTGTCTTAATATGTGGTCTGTCCCAGAAATTGTTCCATGTGCACCCGTAAAGAATGTATATTATGCTGCTTTGGGATGAAATACTCTGGAGATATGAATTAAAGTAATCTGATCTAGTGTGTCCTTTAAAACCTCTGTTTCCTTGTTGATTTTCTGTCTGGAAGATCTATCCCTTGATGTCAATGAGGTGTTAATATCCTCTATGGCTGTATTACTGTTGTATTCTCCCTTTTTGTCCTTCAAGATTTGCTTTATATATTTAAATGTTCCTATGTTGGGTGCATTTAATGTTTACAAGGGTTTTCTTCTCTTTTTGGGGTGATCTCTTTATCATTATGTAGTGTCCTTCGTTGTCCCTTATTATAGCCTTTGTTTTAAAATCCATTTTGTCTGTTATAAGTATTGCTACCCCAGCTTTTTTTCATTTCAATTTGAAAGAAATATCTTTTTTCCGTCCCTTTATTTTCTTATATGTGTATATTTTGTTCTGAGATGGATCTCTTGTAGACAGCATATATATAGGTCTTGTTTTCTTATCTCTTCTACCACCCAATGTCTTTTTTGGTAGCATTTAAGCTATTTACATTTAAAGTGGTTCTTGATAGGTAGGTATTTATTGCCATTTTATTCTTATTCATTTTCCTTTGGCGGTTCTCCTCCTTCTTCTCCTCTCCTTCAAGAAGATCCTTTAACATTTCTTATAATAGTGGTTTGGTGGTAATTGACTCCTTTAGCTGTTTGTGGTGTGGGAAACTCTTTATTTATCTTTCAATATTTAATTATTGCCTTGCTGGTTAAAGTAGTCCTGCTTTACATCACTTTGAGTGTTTCACACCAGCCCTTTTTGGCCTTAAATATTTCTGTTGAGAAATCAGCTGGCAGTCTTATGAGACCTCTCTTATAGGTAACTGTCTTTCTTTTGGTGCTTTTAAAATTCTGTCTTTAGCCTTTGCCATTGTAATTATGATGTATCTTGGTGTGGTCTCTTTGGTTTCAACTTGTTTTTGACTCTGCCCTTCCTGGACTTGTGTGTCTCTTTCTTTCACTAAGCAAGGGAAGTTTGAAGTAATTACTTCTTCAAATAGGTTCTTCATCCCTTGTTCTCTCTCTTCTCCTTGTGGTACCCCTATGATGTGGGTGCTGTTATGCTTCATATTGTCCAAGAGATCCCTTAAACTAGCCTCATTTTTTAAATTATTTTTCCTTTTTGCTGCTCTAATTGGATGTTTCTGCTACCTTGTCTCCCAAATTATTGTTTTTATCTCCTGCTCCATCTAACCTACTGTTTATTCCTTCTAGTTCGTTCTTTGTTTCAGCTATTGTATTCATCATTCCTGACTGGTTCTTTTTCATGGTTTCTATGTCCCTTTTCATCCTGTTGAAGTTCTCACTAAGTTCCTTGAGCATCCTTATAACCATTTTTTTTGAACTCTATATTTGGTATATTGCTTGCCTATATTTCATTTAGCTCTTTACTTGAGCTTATCCTTTTCTTTCATTTGGACCATGTATATTTGTCTCCCCATTTTGGCTGCCTCTTTGTGTTTGTTTCTGTATATTAGTTAGACATGTCCCCCAGTCTTGGTAAGGCAGTCATATGTCATTGGTTTTCTGTGGGACTCTGTGATACAATCTCCTGATCACCTGATTTGGGTGCTCCAAGAATGTCTCTAGTATGAGTTATGTAAGCCCTTCTGTTTTAATTGAGTTTTGATTTCTATTGGCCTGTTGGTGCATGGGGTCAAACCTCAAGCTGGCTGACTGTGGGGATCAACCACAAACAAAGCGTATGAGTTGCCATTCAGGTACTGAACACATGAAGCAGGATTCACCTCAAAAGTTTTGGTGCATGTCGAGATCTTCTTTTGGATACTACTTGTGAAGCTAATTGGATCCTTCTCTGTTGTTGTCCAAAGCTGGTAACTGGACATACTGGTTCTGGGGCCTCTTAGGGGGGACTCTGGTGCAGCTCAATATCAGACCCTATCTGTGGTTGGCCCTGGGCAACCTGTTCAGTTCTCAAAAAACATTCCACTGTTTTGCTGCCTCTTCTGGGCCTAGGTGTGTGTTGGAAGGACCATGGTGTGCACCAAAGCCATCTTCCAACAGCACTGACCTCTGAGGCAGGTCAGCAAAAAGCCCCAGGCACCCCAAGATACAAATCTGCCTGCCTCTCCTTGCTGGTGGCCTATTCAACTCAGTCACTGAAAGGCGCTCTAGAGGTTCTTGAGTTGTATGAGGGAGGTTTTCAGGGAGTCACTACGTAGGATTTAAGTGGTGTTCACCAGACTGATACAGGTTCAAAATTGATGCCAGTGCTGGATCTGAGGCCACTCAGCAAAAATCCCACAGTACACCAAGGCTACCTGCCACCCTCCAGGAACCCGTAGAATTTTGTGGCATGGTAGGGTCCTGGAGTCATCAAGGTGAGACCAGCAGAGATAATCAGGACAAATGAAAACAAAGATTTGGCTGAATGAATGGAGGGTGCTAAACCTGTCGAGCAGGCAAGATAAAAAAGGATCCTATCCTAGAGCAACACAACTCAGTCTCTCTCAGATTCTGCCAGGACTTCCTTGAGAACCCAAGCTCAGTAGGGCAGGGCCACAGGGTGTTGGAGGATGGGGCTAGTGGATCTTCCATGAGTGAGTGGCAGCATCAGGCTTGTGGCAGGTTGGGGGACTGTGCCCTACCCCAGGGCCACACTACCAAGTCTGTCCTGGATTTTTCTGAGAGCTCCTGGAGAGACTACACTTGGCACAGAGGGGCCACCAACAATTGGGAGGGTGTGGCCACTGGGAACCCAGAGTGTAAGGCTTACAAATCATCATGATAGAGAGGTTCTGGTCAAGCTGATGAAAAGGTGGAGAAATGGCCCCTGCCCCAGAACCCAAAACTCAGTTGCTGCTACCCACTGAGTCTGCCTAGACCTATACACCCTGGGCCGTGGCACCTAACTCATCCAAAGGGCATGAGCTCCACAGGGTTGGGTACCAGGAAGTCTGATGGGTGGAGTTATTGCATTCCCCCAGGGTGATGGCATAGGGAAGGAATAGATCCACCTAAGAAAGATGGTGTCTGTAGTGTGGGACAGGGACTCAGCACAGGGATCCAGGTGTGTATCCCTTCAGCTCTCTCCCCAGAACCATAAACCCCCTCTCTCTTCACACAACTCCAGTCCTCTATGCCCTCACTCTGTCAGAGCCCAGGGTGAATTGCTGCTAACAAGATCCTGTACACTGTGATTTCAAAAGGGCACCTGGGTCTCTACTAGACTTCCTTCTCTTTCTGGCAGACCTAATCCCCATTCATTTTCAAAGCCGTATGTTTTTTTGTGTCTGCCTCTTCCCAGTGGTGGTGCTCTGGACCAGGGAGCTCTGGGTTGGTTAGAGACCAGACTCTTTAGGGGAAACCTCTGAAGCTTAGATATCCCTCTGAAATCTCAGCTGCTGCCTATGGGAACTGGACCAGACCTTTTAGCATCTCTGCCTTTCCTACCAGTCTGAATGTGGCTTCTTATAAAAATCCTTATTTATAAAACTTCTGTTCAACTAGTTTTCAGTTGGTTATCCAAGGTGATCTATATTTTAGTTGAAATTCTAGTTTGGTCCTGTGAGAAGGAGGTTAGTATAACTTCCACTTACTCTGCTGCCATCCTGGATCCTTTCTGGCTGGTTTTTATTGGTGTTTTTGTCTTTCTATTGTAGTACTATAGAATTCTTTATATATATTTTGTGTGTTCATTTTTTTAAAAATTTTATTTATTTACTTATTTTTAGAGAGGGAGAGAAATATCAATGTGTGGTTGCATCTTGCACGCCCCCTGCTGGGGACCTGGCCCACAACCCAGGCATGTGCCCTACATTGGCAATTGAACTGACAGCCCTTTGGTTCTCAGGCCAATGCTCAATCCACTGAGCCACACCAGCTAGGGCTGCATGTTCATTTTTTGATATTTATGGTGTAAATAACTTCTCTTAGTTTGTTGCTTGTCTTTTAACTTTGTTTATGACTTCTTTTGTTGAACAAAACTGATATTTTGAATGCATAAATCTCGTATTTTGTAATTTCTGCTTTTATGTCCTGTTTATAAAATATTTCTCAAATCTGAGGTAACAAATATATTTACATATATATTTTTCCAAATTTTATTGCTTTATTTTCCACCTTCAAGTGCTTACTGTAGATATAGTTTATTTTTTATGGTATGTATTTTTTCATATGAAAACCAGTTTTCTAGTACATTTACAAGGTATTTCTTTCCTTTCTAGTCTAAATGGTACTTTCATACCAAATTATCATATATGTCTCTATCCCTTTCTAGCTGTTCTCTTGTTTTCTGTATGACCTTTATTCTGTCTTTTTTCTTCTCTAAGATGGGTTAATGAATGTACTTAACAGTTAGGGTTGTTGAGTGGTGTATGTTCACATACTTTCCATTCAATATCTCATTTATTCCTATAAAAACTGAGAATCAGAAAAGTTAAGTGAACTTCCCAAAGTTTGTAGTTTGTAAGCCACAGAGATGTTCTGATTCCAAAGTTTGTGTGCTTCCCAATAAGTCATACTACCTATCAGTACCAAGCAAGTTACCCAAAATAGCTGTGTTGGTTTCTTGAAAGTACTTAGTAAATTGTCCTTATTTTAACTTAATATAATTTTAACTTCCTTTTCTTATGGATTTTACAGGAATGCCTAATTCTTCTGGCCTTGTGAGCCGTCGTAACACCATTTCCAAAACAGATGCCACTGTAGTGGCATTACTGAAGGAAGCTGGTGCCATTCCTCTTGGCATAACCAACTGTAGTGAGCTGTGCATGTGGTATGAATCCAGTAACAAGATCTATGGCCGATCCAATAACCCATATGATTTACGGCATATTGTAGGTGGAAGTTCTGGTAAGTTTAACATTTCTGTTAGTGAGTCACTGTGAGGAGGGTGTACAGATACTATTGCATAAATTTATGGGAAAGTCATAATTAGGTTTTCATGGTAAAGGCAATTGCAAAATTTGTCATAGACTAGGGAAGAGCATTGTAGACAATGAACACTCATACTCTTGGTCCATGTCTGTGTGTGTACATGCAGAGAAAGAGAGGAGAAGGAGGCAGGGGTTGGGGGAGAGAATGTGAGTTAGTGAAGCTAATTTAGCTTAAGACCTATATCTTCTTGAAACAAAGGTGACAAAATAATGTGAGGACACTGAGCTCTGATAACTATGCTGTGTATCAGAAACTGCTAATGCAAGAATATAGCAGATGTAGTTATGGAAATCTCCTCTAAGGAGGTGATATTTATGATGAAATCCAAAGGATCAGTGGTTGTAGGGTAGTGGGTCAAGCAGAGAACATTCTAATTAGAGAATACAGAAAGTGCAAAAGCCTGAGGTGGGAACATGCTTAGTGTGTTTGGTGATCTGAAAGAAACCCAGTGTAGTGAGTAAGACAGAGAGAAGTTAGAGAAGAAGTTTAAAAGTTTTGTGCAGCCTTGGCTGGTATGGCTCAGTGGGTTGAATTCCAGCCTGTGAACCAAAGGTCGTTGGTTAGATTCCCAGTCAGGGCACATGCCTGGGTTGCCAGGCCAGGTCCCAGGGGGCAGGGGGCACATGAGAAGCAGCCACACATTGCTGTTTCTCTCCCTCTCTTTTTCTCTCCCTTTCCCTCTCTCTAAAAATAAGTAAATAAAATCTTTTTTAAAAAGTTTTGTCCATGTCAGATAATGTAGAGGAGCAAAAGCTGAAGCAAATAGAAAAATCACATGTATTTTCATTGTCCAAGAGAAAAATTATAATGACTTCAACTAGTGTTTGTGTAGATGAAGAAAAGTAAATGGAACACAGATATATTTTAAAGGTAGATTGGAACATGGCTTGCTGAATAGATTGGTAATGGGGAAGTGGGTGTAAAGATAAAAAGAGAATTAAATTAACAGGATTTCTGATTCAAGAGATGGTACAGGAATTCATTCATATAGCGAAAACTGGAAGAGAAAAGACAAATAAGGGCAGCATGATTTAAGAATACCACTTGGACCATGTTATGTTTAAGATGTTTGTAAGACACCCATTGGAGGTGTTAAGTATCATATTGGGATGTGTATAAATCAGAGTAATAATATGGGTGCAAAATAATTTAGGAGTTGCTATCATGAGCCTGGTGCAATAACTAATTTAACCTGTTAAGAATGAATGAAAAAAAAAAAAGGCGTGCATGAATATTGATGGAGATGAAATGGGGTCCATGACAGAGCTTTGTCGTTTTCAAGGTTAAAAAGAAAAGACATATCTAGCAAAAGAAATTAAGAATGAGAAACAAGTGATAGAAGAGGAAAACAGCAGAAATTATATTAGAGACTAGAATGTACATGACTTTTTATCAATTTTGAAGGCTTATACATGTGGGTTAGTAAAATACAGTATTTAAGCTTGCGGTTGCTAGAACCAAAGATAACATTGATAGATTTTTGCTGTGTGACCTTGGTAACGTAATGAAGGTATTCAGTGCATTAATTTCCTCAACTTATAAAATGGTTGTTATAAAGAAACCTGCCTTGTAAAGTTATGTGATAATTAGATATATAAATGTGACTTTAGGTTTCTGATCTGTCATGTTAGGAGTTTGGAAGTTCCTACTCCCATTCCCACAACAAGAAAAAAACTAAACAAACTAAAAATCAACATCTCTTCTCAGAAACATCAGAAAACTGATGTTACAGGGCAAACTCCTGTCTCAAAAATTGAAGAGAAAAACAGGCAGATACAGAGAATCAAAACTTACCAAAGCAGAAAGCCAGAAAAGGAAAACTTCGTGAAAAGCACTACAGGGGTAGGAAAACCTAAACTGTAAATGATCAATTGCTTGAGATACAGTGTGGTAAAGTTTGAGAGTTGAAATATTCAGTGGCCTCAATACATTCATGTATTTTATTGCCAGGAACCCTTCTAGGTTATCACAGTGAAGATTGGAGAAAAATCATCTTGTGCTTTTGTCAGAGGGTGGGAATAAGTAGCCATCTTGAAATATGACCAAAAGATTCTGTTCTTCTAATAAGGAATGCTCTCAGATAAACTATTTTACCCTAACTGAACAGACCTGGGAAAGGAGAATACCCAGCACCAGCAACCCCCTAAGCTTCTTGCCCACCACCCCCAAAAGGATAAGCAAAACAGACATGAGAAGCATGTATTAAAGTTATAGGCCATGAATGCAGACTAAAAACTAAGATATAATCACAACATTATGGAATGTTTTCCCTTTCCACAAACCTTAACATCACATTAATAGGGCTTCTGCATAAAAGATGAATACAGTTAAAAAAGACTGTGCATGATAGGTGCTACTTAATATGGCTCTAGGGAAACCCACAAACAATGGAGACAAAAACAAGGATGCAAATTTAGCATCTAACACTTAGAGATATAGCAAACAATAAACACAGCCTAACTCCTAGCCAGATAAATACAAAATTTCACACTACAGGCCTATTTATCTCAGTTCCTTTTACCCAGTACATCATATCTGGCTTTCAACAACAAATTAAAAGCATTCTAAATGACACAGATCACAGTTTGAAAGGAAAGAGTTAGCTATAGCAGACACGTTGAAATTATCAGATCATGAATTAAAACAACTGTGATTAATATACTAAAGGTGCTAACGGAAAAAGTGGACAACATGCAAGCACAGGTGTGTGCTATAAGCAAAGAGATGGGAAGTCTAAGAAAAAATCAAAAGGAAATGCACACCAAAACAGAAGTGAAGAATTCCTTTGATGGACTAACCAATACACTTGATAAAGCTAAAGAAGGATTCAATGTAAATGAATAAACATCAATAGAAACTTCAAAAACTGAAATGCAGAGAGAAAAATATAATAAAAAAGAAAACATTCCATAACTGTGGGATATTAAAAGGTATAACATACATGTAATGGGAATACCAAGTGAAACAAGAAATAAAAGAACACAAAAATTGAAGCAATAATAACAATTTCCCAAGATTAATTATAGATACCCAACTACAAATGTAGGGAGCCAAGAAAATAACAATAATTATACCAAAAATAGAATCTACCCCTAGGCAATTTATACAACTTGCAGAAAAATCAAAGAGAAAGGAAAAATTTTCAAAGAAGCAAGAGGAAAAAATATACCTTAACCATAGGATTGCAAGGTTAATTATGCAAAAAACTGAATGTTTGTGTCTTCCCAAATTCATATGTTGAAATCCCTAATGTGATTATATTAATTGTGCAGTCTTTGAGAAGTACTTAGATCATGAGGGTGGAGCCCTCATGAATGGAATAATGCTCTTATAAAAGGATCCCAGAGAGCTCTCTTTCTTTCCACCATGTTAGAATACAATGGGAAGACAGATGTCTGCAACCAGAAGAGTAAATTCAACAGAACCAAACCACACTGGCACTCTTAAATGTATAACTTCCAGAACTGTGAGAAATCAGTTTTGAAATTATAGGCAATGCAGACTATGGTATATTGTTATACAGATGAAACTAAGAAAAATTACGCTGGACTTTATGTTATAAACCATGCAAGGAAGAAGTAGATGGAGTGAAATACATAAACTGTTAAAAGAACCACTAACCTATGTTTATGTATCCAACAGAATTATCTTTCAAAAGTAAAGGGGGAATAAAGTGTTTTACAAAGAAACAAGATTAAGTGAAGTTATTTACCAGTGGACTTTCAGTGCAAAAAGTATTTTAAAAAGTTCTTCAGAAAGGAAAATGATATAGGTCAGAAACTTACATCTACATAAAGAAAAAATCAACTATTGACAATCCAGATCCAACAATACATAGAAAAGTTCATACACCATGATCAAGTGGCATTTGTCCCAGGGATGCAAGGATGGTACAATATTCTCAAATCAATAGACGTAATACACCACATAAACAAAGTGAAGGACAAAAACTATGTGATCATATCAATAGATGATGAAAAAAGCATTTGATAAAATCCAGCACCCATTTATGTTAAAAAACACTCAGCAAAGTGGGAATAGAGGGAGCATACCTTATCACCATAAAGGCCATGTGTGAGAAACCTACAGCCAACCGAACACTCAATGGGCAAAAAATAAAATCTTTTCCGTTAAGATGAAGAACAATACAAGAGTGTCTGCTTTCACCACCCATATTCAACATAGTACTGGAAGTTATAGCCACAGTGATCAGACAAGAAAAAGAAATAAAAGGCATCCAGATTGGAAAGGAGGAAGTAAAACTCTCATTATTTGCAGATGGCATGATAGTGTACGTAGAAAATCCTATAGACTCCACTAAAAACTACTCTACCTAATAAGTGAATTTGGCAAAATAGCAGGATACAAAGTAAATATTCAGAAATCGATGGCATGTTTGTACACCGACAATGAACTATCAGAAAGAGAAACTAGGAAAAAACATCTCATTTACAATAACAACAGGAAAAATAATAATTTTAAAAAATAAATTTATTTATAAAAATAAAAAATAAATTTAACCAAGGAAATAAAACACCTATACTTGGAAAACTCTGGAACACTGAAGAAAGAAATCAGGAAAGATACAAATAAATGGAAACATATGCTGTGTTCCTGGACTGGAAGAATTAACATCATTAAAATGTCCACACTACCCAAAGCAATCTATAGATTCAGTGCAATTCTTATTAAAAAAGCAATGACATATTTCACTGATCTAGAACAAATAATCTAAAAACTTATATGGAACCAAAAAAGATCTTGAATGGCCTCAGCAATCTTGAGAAAGAAGGACAGAGTAGGAGGCATCACAATACCTGATATCAAACTATACTACAAGGCCACTGTCATCAAAACAGTTTGGTACTGACCTAAAAACAGACACATAGATAAGCAGAAAAGAATAGAGAGCCAGA